GCGCTGCCGTCCTCCGTTGTCCTCTCGTCTTCCCCCTATCCCCCATGTTCCCGCCCCCGCCACCACGGTTATCACTGCCAGTGACGAGGGCATACGCCCCCACGCTCTCCGACACCCTCTTCCTAGCGGCCTCCGTCTCCGCCCAGGGAGTCAGAATCACCTTCTCTACCAATTCCGTCTTGACCTCCGAATGCGCCAACAACACGCTCCTCTGCACGTTGAAATCGGGCAGAAGGTTGCGTACATAGTGGACGTTAGCATCATGATCGGATTGCACCCAACCGTACGCTTCTAGTTTCTGGCGAAGTACTGATGCTTTTGGGAGATAGCGCCGGGGCTCCTCCCCTACTTGCTGCTTCAACGAGTACCACTGCCCCTGCAACTCCAACTTGTCCGTTTCTGCGTGCACTCGGTAAAAGTTGAGAAATTGATCCCACGATTCAGTGGGGCAACCACTAGCTAGGATTGCAGGGACTATTGTCGGAACTTGTATCTTGGATATAAGTAGCTGCAAAGCCTTAACCGCCCGATCTGCAGCTTCCGTCCCATGCTCCACCTTCAATGCCGAGATATTCGCATCCTTCTTCCCTACACGAATCGTGTTCTCCGATTCTATTGCCCCAAGGCAACGCTCCTGCTCCAACAACGATCGTAATTGACTAGTGAAAACCATAACCGCCGTCTGTACATCGTCCTCGGGGCTAAACTTCCCGGTGAATGCAGGGATGTGATACCTGCGCTAATACGTATTGCTTCTTTAGGGGTTGGGACTTCCCTGTATTCATCCTCCGGTTTTATCTTGACCCTCTGCAAGGCCCGCGCGAAGGTGTCGATGAGGGTGACGTCCGCCGGCGATCGGGGCTGGTATTCGGGTCGCGGGCTTGACTCCGAGCCAGCCGGCCTCTCCAGCCGGGTGTCGCCTCCTTCGAAAGGCATGCCCTCGTTCTGTGCTGCGGGGCGCTCTGCTGCTGCTGCTTCTTCTACTTTGATCTTGGCCTGCTCCTTGATAAGAGCGTCGATTACGTTTCGCTGCTCGTCCGAGAGCTGGAGCTCATCCAGCTGCTGCTCCATGATTTCCGTGTTACTGTTCTCTGGCCGAACCCTTTTGTAGCTAGCCCCACCTCGGGATCCCGTATGATATCACACGCTAGCGGCCCATGCGTCCAGCTCCTTCTTAAACACGTGGTCAAAAGCTTCAAGCTCCGGGGCACTCCAAGTCTCTTGTAGTGTCCTGCTAGAACTTTCTTTTTTCCCTTCCCGCTGCTGACTAATCCACCGTTCACAACTCGCAAAGTTGCTACCCCTGTATCCCCCCCTTGCGCGGTCTTTTTCAACTTTCTACTAATCCCTTCCCACAGCTGCTTGACATTCCCCTCCAGGCCTCCGTTGGCCTTCTGCACTACTTCGTCCCAAATGCATCTTTTCTTCTTTTTCACTTGTCCTTTCACCTGTTTTCGCTTGGCCCTGTACTGCTCCCAACTCTCCTCAGACCTCTCACTCAGGTACTGCTTGAAGACTTCTCTTCCCCTTTTTCTTTTTTCAATTCGTCATCCCACCACTTAACCGATACCCCACATCGTACCACCTTCTTTCCCACTACTCTCTCTGCCGTTGCGTTCACTATGGACTCCCACCCTTCAATCACCCTGTCCCCTGCTGCTTGCACGTCTACCTGTCCGTCTTCGACGCTTCTCAGCAGTTTTCTGAAGGGTTCTACACTACCAGCCGGTCCCTTCTGGAATTCATCCCGTGTCCCCTCGTCTCCCAAACGCTCTACTTTCCACCGGAACACTTTCCTCTGTTTCTTACTCTCCATCTTTCTAGATCGGTCGATGTTTGCCCATATGAGGAAGTGGTCGGTCGAACCTATGTCTATCGCACTTACTTGCAGCACTGGGATCTGTGTGCTCCCCCATCTACCAGGATGTAGTCGAGGATCGAGTATCATTGCAAACTGCCCGTTGCCTGGTGAACTCCGGCTTATCGCATTCCCTCCTACCGTTCAACACCATCAGCTCGTTGCTTCCCAAGAATTCAAGCATCCTCAATCCGTTGTCATTCGCTTTGTCTTCTCCGTGTTGCCCGATCGCCTGTCCTCTACTGGAAGCTTCCCCTACTCTGGAGTTGAAATCCCCCACCATGACAACTTCTCCCTTCCTACTGAACCTTCCCCAATTTGTCCAAAACTCTCCTGCGCCTTGCTTGCGACTTTCTTCGACGACGGTGGGACGTACACGTTCCCTAGAAACAAATCTTTCTCACCCCGCTCCCCACGTATCTTAAGCCATAGGCTTTCCTCGAACTCCGTTTTCACCACTACTTCCACCACGTCAAACAAGTGTTCCTTGACCAGGAATCCGACTCCCCCCTCCCCCCTTTTCTTCGGGTCTAAGCCCTTTCTTGCCTTCCCTACCCACCGGTATTTCCCTAGTTTGCTTACCACGCCTCTCACTATCCTTCAATTCCCACGTCTCTTGGATCCCTACTACATCTAGATCGCTTTGTTCTACTTGGTCCACTATTTCCAACCGCTTGCGCTCACTCCTTGCGAACCCGCACACGTTCCACGACCCGACTCTCAGCTTGAGCTTTTCCCTATTGGAGATTTTGCGCACTCTATCGTTCGCCTTCCCCCGCTCGGTCCTTTCTTCGCCTCCATTTTGCTCG